GATAACAGGATTTAGCACAAATAGGTTTCTTCAGTTACCTTGAAGTAATAATATAAAAATTATGAAAAAGAAAAAAAAACAATTACGTGAAAAGCGAGTGCTTTTTAATGGTCGGTTCGCCACCACAGAAATTATTTCTGTAAAAGTAAGTAAATTCAGGTAATTGTTTTAAAGATACGCCTTCCAGAATGCGAAAATAAGTAAGATATAGCCTTTTAGAAAAATGAGCACGAACTTGTGAAACACCCTTTACACGAATATCCAGCTCAAACAGTGCCGTAGCAGGGTTAAAATTATTGGGGGGGCCCACCACGAGCGCCAAAGTCACGAAGTTTTAGGGGTGTTAATTAAGCTAACTCAATCCCAAAATAATTATTCTAACCTTCATTTTTACTGTTCTACTCTTGTGTTCAATATATATTTTTTGGAGTTTGCCAAATTATTGGGGGGGCCCGGGCCCCCCCGGCCCCTCCCCACGCTACGGCATTGTCAAACATCCTTCAGTGGTTCAAGTCCAGGTCAAGTCCAAGTGTAAATGAGTTTGAAGCTACTTGTGATGATTGTCAGCGGACAGAGCCTTCGGAATGTGAGGACTGGAACCTAGGGATGTCACAGAAAAGGGGGAATATAGACTTAATTCAAAAGAAATTTCACTGCAAAGTTGAAAAATCCTCACTTGCGAAGCGTCATACTGTAACATGCTGGTTTAAGATGTCGTAACAATAAGTTTGTAATTAGGTCGGGAAAAAAATATACAAACAAAAAAGGGTGAATCATTTGGGGAATGGGGAAAGTTATCAGAGATATTTTTCACAACTCAAAAATCTTGAGGGGCCTTCAAGAGGGATCCATGGCGTCCAACCAAGCGATGAAACTATACCATGCGCTAAGTAATAGCAGCTGAACTGCACTTTTATGTCATGTACGCGTGTCACGGCACTTTTAGCGGCCACGGGTATTTTCAGTGTGTTGGAGTAGATGATAGCTGTGGGTGTATACCTGCTGACAGTTTTACAGCCCGTCAATGATGTTGTAACGCTAAGGTGGGTCCGTCCTTCTTTGCCTTTACATTTGGTGTCCAGAAGTCGAAGATTCTTTAAATCAAGACCACGGAGGAGGGTCTTTGGGATGACAATGGTCATATTTTTATCGCCGCAGATGACATTTACTCCAGAAGCTTTTAGTGAAAACATAAAATATACAAGTATAATATTATAGACATACAAAATTTTAGAATCGGATGGTATATACAGTTTCGACTGCAAATATGCATAAACCAAAAAAAAAAAAACTGAAATGACTGATTCGAAACAAGTAAGTTGACACACATTAGAACATGGGCATGCGTAGCATGCAAGAGTTCATTTGTTTGCTGTGTGGGTTGAGACGAGATAGTTTGTTACTGAAAAGAGCATAACTTTCAAAAGAACGAAAATAACGCATTAATTCGCCTTAAGAGAAAGAGAGGAAAAACCTAATTTATTTGAACTCACACAGATATTTTGTGGTCTATTATCTAAATATTTTTAAGTAAAAATTAAATCGTCGCCACGCTTACTATTGTCTACTTCGCCGCCGTTGTTTGGTCGTCACACAACGCCTTCCATTTCCCGTTGGAGAGGGAGTGCGTTGCGTGACGAGACCAACTAACGGTTGCGAAAGAGACTACGCTTACCACCGTTCCTCCAACAGAGAGGAAAATCAAAATCATTCGTCTATACTAAGTTGCCTAAAAAATAAAATTGCGCGTAATTTTACAATGAAAAGCAAATTGAAACTCTGTTGTACCTCTATTAGACCATGAGCAAAGATATATTGCGATCTCAAACAAGTGAAAATACACTGAACAAGAGAAAACGATAATATTTCAAAGAGGGCTCCTTGATTGATTTTGCCCATCTAGACTTTGCCCTCTGTGTGAAAAAATACGTAATAAAATGCAAGTTGTTTTGAAAGGAATTAACACGCGATTGGGCTAAGTTCAAGGTAGCTGAAGGCGAATTTTATTCGTAGAAAAAGGCAAAACGCGGGAGTAATGGAAATGATGGAAACTAAAGGCCCACCTAAATGTGGGACATCGAAGCGGCACTACCAGACAATAGAATCTCATAGATTAGAGCCCAGCTATTCCAAGGCCGATTAACACGAACCCAGGGTTAAATTTTAATCTAGGTGTCTCAATTACTTTGTTCAAATGCCCCTTTGTACAATTTTCTCTGTTCTTTTTAGAGCATCCTATCCTAAAATTGTACACAAATAACATTATAATGAATTTTCTTTTAAAGCTTTCAGATTTCAAATCAGATTTCAAACTAACCCTGGGTTATCTTAACCTAACTTTGAACAACCCGGCCCACGACTCACTACACTTTGTTTTTAGTTCTTGTGAGTGCAAGGTTAAGCAACCCAGCCCAGCCCATACCCACTCCCAGCCCAGCCCATACCCACTCCCAGCCCAGCCCATACCCACTCCCAGCCCAGCCCATACCCACTCCACGTAAGAGCAGGTGGCAAGAGAGTGCTGATTTCGCATACGGCAAAACCTCCACAGGAATGCCATTTGAGCCCGACACTTTGCTGTAAGACAGATCAATGCCTTTATTGAGATCCTCCCCCTTTGGGGGCAAAGCCAGCTTTTCTTTGACCGACAGAGTGGGCGTGTTTGCAAGGGCATTCTTGCTGACCAAATTCTCCACAAGGTATATGCCATAGTAATGCCTGCCTCAAAACTCTAACTCCTGGCCAAACTTTTTGACAACATTTAAGTCCTTCAATTTGAGGGAAAAGAACCAGCGGGTGAGAAGACTAAAGGCTTTTCTCATCCCGTAATAAATTTCCTGCAACATGTTGCTGCCAGCTCAGGACTAACTGACACGCCACAAAAGGAAGACATTCTGGAATCTCCACTAAAGCTAAACAGCAACATTAAATAACCGGAAAAAAGTTCTAACATTTTACAATTTACCGTTTCCTCCAGAATCCATATTTCAGCATTACACTAGCAGTAAAAACATGTAAGTTTCACCCTTCCAATTTTCAGTGCCAAATAAGTTCATGTAAGACAACAATTATACCTGCTGAGCAACCATACAGCTCCATCCTTAGTGATATATGACCATACCATGCTGTTGGTCTAAGTTTGATGTAGCGAGCTTTGATGGGTGGGTTTAACTGGTGATAAACAATGCTGTCGCTGTCTTTATTTCCTTTGAATACCTACAAATACATGCATGTAAAATTAATGATCAGTTACCACAGTCGTGCCATTTTAAAAGTTAGTTTCAACTTACATTTAAAATTATGCCGTGTTGATTGCACTTGCTGTAAATTTGCAAGAGAAGGTAAAAAATGACTCCAATTTTGAATGCCAGGCTAGATATGTGGCATAATTAACTTTTTCCACAGTAGAATGTATAATCAGGGGCTTAGCCTCTTGGTATTTGCAGATGAGTTAATTAATGACTACTTGCAACATATTATAAATGTTACCTCTATACTGTGCAGACATAAGGATATGTTTTCAACAGTTTTAAACCAAATAACTGCTTCTACATTTACCTTAGGTGAACTCTGTCCCGGTACTTTGTAGTAGTAGAAGTTCACTCCATCTTCACTGTACTGCAGCTTGTATGCTGTTACCCACTAGCTGTGAGCATTCCTTCCCTGTGTTGCTATACTTGTTAATTTGGTGTAACTGCCAAGAGCCACCTGTATCCATTGATTTCCATTATTCCACCGAGCTGACCATCCTCCTTGTTTACCTCCACCAGCCTTAAAGTTCAATCTTCCCTGGATCGCTGCATGATTTCTATCCCACTGTGAAGATGCAGTGATTTGAGCATCTTTAATGCGTGGACTCTCCAAACCAAGAGGTGCCGAACATTCTTTACAGAAATACAGATGGTAAAAGAACAGTTTATGTGTATATGTTTATGTACTGAGGCATGTAGGTATGTTTGTGGGTAGGTACATACAGTTCTATTGAAAATTTAAAAGTTAGACAAAATTTGGATTGAGAAGAAATTTTCTACATATGTCATAATGTAGCACCTAACAATCTAGAGTTTCTTGCCATATCCATATTTCAGCATTATAATGCTTATAATCAAAAAATATGTCTCACCCTTCCATTTTTCAGTGCCAAATAAGTTCATGGGAAACCAAGATGGTGCAAGTTATGCATTTTATAGCATTAGTTATGCTAATTGCATTTTCCTTCATTGGATTATAGACAGGTGTTTTTGCAAACAATTAATGATGTGCAACAAGGCAGACAGTTTGGCAAATTATAATTCTTTTGGTAAATCAATTTAGAAAAAATTTGGAAAACTGGTTGCTTTCAGGTCAAACTAACCAGTTGAAACTTGTTCTAGAGCAAATTAGCATAGAATAGCTAAGAAAATTGAACCTCAAACTGTTTTGTCTTCATTTAAATTTTTCACTTTTGTGAATACTGTAAAATTGGTGCGAAATACTAGTTCTTAAATAACTTAAACCTACAAGATGAGAAACATCTCAAGTGAGAGATATGGTCATGTTAACGTTATCCCTACAACAGGATTTTCACCATGGTGTGAGCAACAAAATTTACCACATGATGTGGAAAATGAAATGTTTCCTACTAAACGCTTATTTACAAGAACCAAATGTTTGGTCCATCAAAATCAATTGCTTCTTGCACATCTTTTGTCAATCAACTACACATCAACATCCTTTCTCCCCAATTCTACCTGCAAAAATTCCCCAAAATTAGAACTTCTTTGTTGCACCCAATTGCAACCCCTCGATAATATTTATGTGTTAACCCACTATCTCTCAATATTTGAAAATATAATCAACAGATCTGTTTGTGAATTGACAATATACATGGGTGAGCAGGTACTCAAAGCATGAGTTAATGTTAATTAATAACTCAGAGTAATGTTTACCATACCTAAACATCCATACAGCTCCATCCTTAATGGTATATGACCATACCATGCTGTGGGTCTGAGTCTGATTTAACAGGCTTGGATTGGTGGGGTTATTTCATGGTACACAATACTATCCTTGTCTTTATTTCCTCTAAAAACCTTAAATGATCAATATACAAAATCTAGTAATATTAGTGATTCCCGTGACAATAACATCATTGCAATTATCATTATTCTGTCTAATTAAGTGTTGCTTAAACAAAGTTAAAAAATGAGAGTTTAAGATATATTAACTTAATCTTTAATTTACACCCTAACAATCAGTATGCATATTCTCCATACTGTTTGGTATACTTTTCCAAAGGTGCTGACAAGGAGAATTTGTCTAACAGTCACAAGCTACTTTACTTGGTGATCATTTCCTTTATTCCCATGACCTTAGTGTGTGATCCAGAACTGATATCCAAAGGAGAAACTAGATGCCAGTCACTCTTAGGGGTTTAAAGGTTAAAGACTTCTCCAACACAAGCAAAGCACAAAAATTCCCTTTCTTTATTCTGGAGATTTAAACCACTTAGTGCACACTAGTAATAATTATTTGAAGGATGATATAGTTAAAGCACTGGATCTTTCATTAATACCCAGTCACGGTTAGTTGTAATCCATTAGCCAGACTTTCATGGAGAAAAAACACCAAAGAAAAGATAATCAATCAAAAGGTTATCGCTAAGTGCAAGCTGCTTGTAAAGTTTATTGGATGAAAAGGCTGTGATGCCCAGCTGAATTTTTGGCCTGCAATCACATAATAAAGCATACTCAGCACTAATCTGTGGTTACATTGTAAACTTGCTACGGAATAGAGAAACAATTCTGAGTGATCGTCACTAATTAAAATCAACTCTGGATTGTATGAATTTAGAGGTCAGAAAAAATATCAAATAAGGGAACTTTATTACCATCATCAAACTGGGCCATCAAATTAGAAACACAACATGAAAAAGTTATTTTTTTGGTCTATCACACAAGATAAACTGTAATTTGTTTCATGATTTCATAGGCTTTCCTCCTTAATCTGATCCAATAAGAGTTTCCTTTTTTCTTCATTCTTAGAAATACACAGCATAATCACTTACATGCCAACATTTTGGGCACCACTTTGTATATAATAGCACCCTCAAGAATGTTATTTATTTAGTATTCTCCTTATGACCCAAGCCATTTTGAAAGGAAATGACATGAACATCAACAGATTTTCCTTCATTTGAAGGTTCATTTTCTACACATACCAAAAGGATGACTATGTGGTTTGTCTGAAAATCATTCAATATGTGGCACATGGCAATTTGCATACCTTAGGTGAACTCTGTCCTGGTACTTTATAGTAGTAGAAGTTCACTCCATCTTCACTACACTGCAGCTTGTATGCTGTTACCCACTGGCTGTGAGCATTCCTTCCTTGTGTTGCTATACTTGTTAATTTGGTGTAGCTGCCAAGAGCCACCTGTATCCATTGATTTCCATTATTCTTCCCAGCTGACCATCCTCCTTGCTTGCCTCCACCAGCCTTAAAGTTTAATCTTCCCTGGATTGCTACATGATTTCCATCCCATTGTGAGGATGCAGTGATTTGAGCATCTTTGATGCAGCCACTTTCCATACCTGCAAGAGCACTTGAACATTCCTTACATTGACAAAAATAAATGAACAAACACATATTGTTAGGAATAACGGAGGAAGAAAATTATTCATAACCCTCCCTAGAAATTAAGTTGTTGCTTTGATAGAAATGTATTTGTTGACTTCAGTGCCAAGGGTAAATTTATTTATAACAATTTTCTAAGCATGCATATCAAGGTGTATTATGGGTTTTTTCCTTTTTTGCAACATTACATCAAAACTAAACAATCATTGCATTTTTTTATTAAGAATTGATTAATAGTGCCTTTTGCATCTGTAAATTTAAAATGGCATGCTTAGTTTGTAAGAATAATTTTTAACAAGACTGCAATGAAAAATTTAAAAGAAATTTCTTCTTAAACATTAGCCCATTGTTTTATATTTATGAATCAGATCAAATAGGCCACTTAAAGAGCAAATTTTCCTTCTCAAGCACAGTGATGTTATTGATAATAATCTTGAATGCTTTCATTATTTTGAAAACTTGTTTGATCTATCTGCAGTCTGCAGTATACATTTAGTCCTGACCATTTTTTGAGCACCAAACATCATCAATTCCAATTGTAGATCAGGTTACTTTCCAGATCAACATGTTGAAAACTGTATTAACCATAATTATATGTAGCAGACAGCATTAAAGTTTAATTGTACCATCTGTACATGTAATGTTAACCCTTAAACTCTCAAAATGTAACATATAACTTCTATTTGTAACATCTATATTTATAATTATTATTACTTGGATAAAGAACATTGCTTGGGCAAATTCTTTTTCAACTAAAATTGCAGTTTTTTTTCTACTGTTCTCTATTGTTGAGCTCATTGATGTCTGACTAGGACAGATCAAAAACTACGTTAAATTAAAGTTTGGTTGTAATTCACTTTCATTCAAAAGCACATCAACTTGTTACTACAGGTTCAGTACACATCTTAAAGTCAAGAACAATACGATCTTTCCACAAGTGACAGCAAATATCCCAACTAAGGTAAATTTCCGCACAGCCCCATCCCACATTATGCATTCAGTTCTTGTATAAAGAAAACAGTGAAAAAAAAACCATACATTTTCATTGGAAAACAGATTTGTTTACAATAGTATGGAGCTGTGCAGAAACTTTACCTAAATCAGATGCATAGCATGTTTAGCAATACCATAAATAACAAAAAACTGAGAGTAAACGAAAATTTGAAATTTATTACCCATGCAAACACCTTTCCTAATTGTGGCTTCGACATTCAGCGATTCCAGATATTTTCATTACTTCAACAACTAATTCACTTACATCGTTGTATGATCCAGTACTAGCTTGCATGGATTGCTAAAGTTTGTTTCATTTAAGTTACCAATATTTGCCACTATTTGGCTCAAGCCCCTTGCACACATTGCCTCCACGAACTTTGGAGTTGCAAAAATCATTTTGTAAGTAATGAAAAGAGTTTTTATTCGGGCTAGCAGTAAAAAAAAAAGGTGAACAACAAGGAACTTCAAAAATCAGATTCTTCCCTTCAACCCAATTTGATGCAGAGATAATTTGCATGCACACATTGCACCAATTTCCAGACTGACAAGTTTTGTGAAGTGCAAAAAATTAAGAAAAAAAGAAAAGGAAAGGAAAGAAAAGAAGGAATGAGTTAAAAAGATGAAGAAGCATGATGCCAATTGACATGGCGTTTGACATGCTGATTTGCTCATGTTAAGTTATGGGGGGCAATTTCTCTTGTCAAAAAATAAGAAAGAATAACAAGATATGATAATTAGTCAGAAAAGGCATAAGCTGGCATCTGGAAGAGAGGTATTGGCTGTACAAGGAAAATTTCAAAGAATATCTTCATCAACATGTCAGCAAAAGTGTTTATTTTCTCTACAAACCTTTTGAAGTTTTCCAAATACTTACAGATGGAAAAAAGCAGCATCAACTACAAACAAAGTTCCCTATCATTAATAAGTATTTTTTCTAAAGAATTAGAAGGCCATTTATCACCTAATTTCACAGTGGTCACCACTGAAAAATAGAGAAAGTAGCTAAAAACATTTACCATTGAAAGCTGGCAGCAAACTGTCCCGGGTAAATCAACCCTGCAAAGAGACTTTTGTAAACTTGATGGCGTTTTGCATTAACACCCTTCACAGTGTTAATGCTTTGTTTAAACAACTCCAGTAAAGAGCATTTCCTATAAGAAAAATACATGCTGTGCGGTGAACAAAAGGGAACAATTTACAAATGTTAAAAGTCAAACAAAAGAACTAGCTGGCAAAAAAGATTCCCAAACAAACACAGAAGGAGGTGAAAAACTTTGGGACAGTGATCTACAAAGAATTTGACAAAGTATGCAAGGAGTGATTGGGAAAGTCCTTTGGCGAAGTAATATCCCCAGTTCCTGAGGCTGGGTTAACAAAGAAGGAATCACCTGTTAATGCAAAGAAAAAAATTGTAAAGCAAAGATAAAATTTATAAAGAATGTGAAAATTCTCTAAAAAAAAAACTGTAGGCCTTCACCTGGCTCAGCGCATATCATTTGCAAGGCAAAGAGCAGTGGAATGCTCCAATATCATCAATAAATCAAAGGAAAGGGTCAACAATACACCAAAGTAACAAAAGAGGTTGCATGTTCTCACAACATTGGATGGGGACCTTTAGCAGCTGCTGATGGATGTCACTGTCGAGTACCATTCAACAGACAAGAGGCAAGTGTCCCACCAACCAATGCTTGGCAGGTTTTAAACGAGTATTCAAAGTCTTAGGGAGTAGACACCAATGTATTTGAAAAACAAACAAGTAAGTTCTAGGTTGTTCTACACACCAGCAAATTAAATGCAGTGCCTGAAGATTCAACCATATCACTCTGTTCTCTAACAGACACTTACAGAATACATGTACAACCCTCTTATACTGGTAAAAAGATCATTAAAAAAAACCATCTAACTCAGCTTCAAAACCAAGTTGAAAGTCATTCTTAATCAGTAATATAACTTGCAGTTACTGATCAGAAGGCAAGCCCAAACAAAAAAAATTAAGTATTTTCATTGCAGAAAATTCAGAAAGGTCAAAGTTAAACCACCTTAAAACATTGACCAGCTCCAGGCACCACCTCTTGACAATTAGATGACACCTACGTAACCAATCCAGTCACATGTAAGCATTTATTTGATGGTCATTATTTTAGTCAGCTATGTTCAGTAATATTTATCGTAGGATTTATACCTTCCAGCTCATTCTGATTCTTCATAAGACCCCACACTTCACCAGATTCCAGTGTTGTTTGATGTCAACAGAATTTGCTGTAAACAAAAAAGTGTAATAAACAATATTGTTAAGTATGATTAAAAACCAATTTTTTGGGGGGTCATGGGCATATCACTAGCCTTTGGCATTTAACTTAAGCTGTTATTATTAAAGGTTAAAACCGACCACTCATTTTGATAAGTCTCTCATGATTGATGCAGCCAAAATCTATTTTTCGCTGTACATGTAAGAACACAACTGTGTAAATATAGCTTTTATTTTCCTCATTAATTCAAAAAGTACAAGCATTGTAGCTTAATTGATAAATTCTCTTTGTTGAAGCCCGTAGGACTCACAAAAAAAGTATAATACACAATATTGTTAAGTATGATTAAAAACAATTTTTTTTGGTCATGGGCATATCACTAGCCTTTGGAATGCAACTTAAGCCTTTGTCATTTAACAGATAGAGAAGCCTTGACTGTGCTCTGTTCTGTTATAAAGCACGCAGGAAGCGGCTAGAGCACGAAAGAAGTGTAGGGAGAAACACGAGACGTAGTCGAGTGTTTCTTCCCACTTCTTGAGTGCTCTAGCCGCTTCCTAAGTGCTTTATAACAAAACAGAGCACAGCCAAGGCTTCTCTATTTGTTTTATAATAAAGAATCCATTAAATTCCCCAAGCATTACTTTCAATTTTCAAAACAAACTTTATTTCCAAAGCGAACAACAGTGTCGTCAGCATGCTCTATACTCTCATAAAGCACGCTACAATAAGCCAATCAGAATCCCTGTTAGAATGGTTCAAATAATCTGATCGGTTGTACAAGACTAAAGCTGTCAAAAGTGTCAAACCATCAAAGTTAAAAAACCATCAAAGTTCACCTTCTGCGATAGTTTACAAACTAAAATGGTTCGATAGGTCGAATTTAACACTTTTGCCTGAAGTTTTTAAGTCTCTAATACAGAATCTTGAAGTGAAATGTTCAGTGAACTTCAGCCGAATTATGGCTCATAAAAACACGCGAGTTTTTTCATATGACAAGGTAGAAAACAAACTGTTCAGGGCGAGTGTTTTTTTAATGAACGACAGCCGAATTCACCGGAACATGAAGATTACTCGGGATGACAGCGTCGCAAAACTCGGCTGCAATGACAGATGTGACTTTCCACTCAACGCATCGGAAAGGATATCAGAGCAAGCTCTTATTTTTTCACTCGAAGGGCGGCCGATGTAGTTTCTGAGGCTTGCTGTGATGACCGGAGATCGCCATGATGAGCGAGCCGCGATGGACTTCAGCATGATCATATTTGCTCAGACACCGTCATGATTAGAATGAATTTTAACAGTTATGCCAGTTTGGTTATATTTTTCATCATTTCTGTTTTGTTCTGTTTTGTCTTCGAACACTGAACTTTATATACTATATGAGTGTTAGCTGTGTTTGATTTTTATTTCCGTACGTAAGCTTGCAATCTAACTGAGCGTGAATCAATCTTTAAAACCTCGAATGTCTATTTTGTTTTTCCTTTGAGGATTTTCGTATCTGCTCACGTTTTAATAACGTAAATTACGGCGCCTAGTATGTTTACAAACCTTTGTTTGATTCTTCTGTTGCTACTTGTCGGCTCGCTTCAGTTCCGAAATTTCACTTTCAATTATCGGAAAAAAGCTAAAAAGAAGTCCCGGAAAAGCTCGAACATAGTACAGTTTGGCAGATGGCGTGACAGCTTTAGCTCAGCTCTATGCTCTATACTC